AATACATAATACTTACTGTATTTCATTTCTGTCACTTTCATTGGGTTTTTAAGGAACTAATTAATGTTTCTACTACTTATATTTTATACTATTTGAAGTTGCATTCATCACGCAGCCTTGGAACAAAAACCATCTTCCTAAATTAACAACTAGGATAGTCAAATGGTACAAATCATTGCACTTAATGATTATGAAATCTCTAATTCACATTGCTTTTTCCATCTTATAGTTTGATAAATATTAGACAGCCCCACAAAGAATACATGGCATAATTAATTGGTCCACCACTTTGCTTGTGTCCATGTATTTTTCCAGTGATGCGCATTATTTTCTTCTCCATTGCCTTCTTGTCAAGGCAGTTTTCTACTCATCCTGGTAGGTCTACTTACCATATAAACTTTGCACTTAATTATGCATTTTGGCATCCCTTCTCAATGATGGTCCCGTGATAGAGGGATCCTAAAAAGAAAAAGGTCAGAAAAGATAGGCTGGTAATTGGTAAAGATTCCTTCATTTTTTACTCAACTTCTCCTTTTCTTTTTTTCTGAATGGATGATAATCTTTTTTTGTTTAATTATCTCGTATTCGAAATTGACTGCCCGACTAATCTGGATTTGCATCGAGTGGACCTTATAGATTACTATAATCATCCTTAAGTGGAATTGACTCTTAGGAACTGTATATGATGACAAAGAAGCGCATGGTATGGACAAGAAATTATACAGCGAGGTGTCTATTTATGGGTGGTGCCCGCACGCTTTGCCATCTTTGTTAAGTAACAGAATCATTGAAGATGTTGAACTTAACTAATCATGTGGGGCAAGTGATTTTAACTAATCTATGTGATGTTTATAGCCCGACCGACAAAGTAGTTGGAAAACTTGTCTGCTTCTTCATTTCGTTCTACTTGCCCAATAGAAAATCTAGTGATGTTTCTTGGTCAAGATGGATGATAGTTCAAGAACCATTTTAAGGTCTAGTTAGGTAAAATTAAGTTTTGCTGGAAATATTTTGAAGGGTCATTAGGTTATCTAGAACTAGAAGAAGCAGTTCACTGAATACTGTGACTTATGAGCTGAGTAGTTGTGGAAATATGTACTCACAATCTGGCTAGATTCTTTGTATAATGAGTGATTCACATTAAACACATAAATATAACTTGTGCCTCTACAGAAGACCTGTTAAAGATTATGTAAACAATTAGTGTTGTTAAAAATGCATAATATAAAAATAATTATTTAAATAAAGGTATTTTCTTAATATACATTATATATTCTTGAAAATTATGGTCAATTATATTAGTATGTTTCTACCATTTTTCCGATGACACAAAGTTATGTCACCGGAAAGTAGGGGGATTATCTGTATAGGGTAGAATATGCTATGTTAAGTCGTGCATGGAATATATATAATATAATTGAGCATAATTTTTAAGAATATATAATGCATATTATAAAAATACTTTTATTTAAATAATTATTTTTATATTACATGCATGGAATATATATTTTATAACCTTTATTTTCTTTCATTCTGAATTGTGTAAATAAGTGTTTTGAATTTTTGTTGTTAATACTAAAATTATTATTACGAACAAATTATTCTAATTAATTTTTTACTATGCTCATTATTTTGTTATTCCAACATTATAGATGCTTAAATACTTTTTATTTTTTAAATTTATAAATAATATTTATTTATTCTATAGGTAAGCCCATAATATAAATTAAAAAGGAAAAATCATAATATTAAAAAGTAAAAAAAAAAAAGATAAATATTTATAATTTAGAGGGTAAAATAGGTATTTGGCAATTCAAAATTTGGAAAATCTAGTTTTTTTGGTCAAACAATAAAATTTTATTCAACCAAGTATGATATATACATCCACTAGTTCTATTTTGACTCTAGAACTAGTCCTAAATTTCCGCTAGTTATATTTACTCCTCCCTTCAATATAACTTCTAACTGCTAGTCTATACTAGACTTGGGTATGAGTTCAAACTATCAAGTAATCTATTCCAACTGCTTCTGAATTGACCTTTCCTGTGTAGTTGGATGGTAATCTTTCTTAGTCTTGGTGCACATTCCTGCTGCTGTTCTTGGAATCGCATTGCGTTCATTCCAAACATGGTATACAGTAGCAGCTAATAGCCATCCTAGCACCTCTGCATGTGCTCTGTTGTTGCATTGCTTGGTTGTTAGTCGCTCGATCTCTTCTTCCCAGGTCCCTACTTGCCTGTTTTCTCCTATCCATCGTAAGAAGGAGTTCCACATTTTCCTGGAGTAATCACATTCAAAGAACAAGTGATTGTGAGTTTCTTCAGCATTAGCATTGCATAGTATACAGTTCATAGGGACTTAAATTCCCCATTTAGCCATTCTGTCTGCTGTACTGAATCTCCTTTGAAGTGCAAGCCAGAGAATGAATTGATATTTTGGTACAGAACAGGGAATCAAATTCAGCTTTCTCCATATAACTTTAGGATATTGGGGGAGCAAGTGTTTATATGCCTTCTTGATCATGAACTTGCTAGAATGAGTGAGTTGTTGTAGATCTTCACACAAATCATTTCCCCCATACCACTTCCTTGCATCAAAGACTTTCCTAATAAGCCAACATGCTTGTCTAGGTGTCTCCATATTACTGATGTTTCTACCCTTAATATAGAAGCTGAAAAATCTAGTTGAGTGACCTTCTGAGTGCAATAGGCATAGTTCAGTGACTTTGTTATTACAAACGAAAGAAAAGTGACTTTAGAAAATAATTTGAGAAAGTTGAGTGACTATTTGATTAATTGACTCCTCCAAGTTCTTCTAGAAGTTTGATAAATCTTAATTTAAATTGCATTCTACGACAAATATTGATGAGGGTTCCCGATGCTAACGACCTCTTAATTTTTTGTTTTGGATTAAGAAGCTACTCCCTTCTGTCCAAAATAAGTGATTTTTTTGGACTTTTTTTGTGGTCCAAAATAAGTGATTTTTTCAGATTTCAAGAATGAATTAATTATTTTTTCCTACATTGCGCTTGGAGTAAATAGTGTTGGAGTATGTGTTAGGAGTATTTATGTGAAGAGATAGCAAAGGTTAATATGGTCAATTTCATTGCTAATTAATGCTAAAAGGTGAATTTTTTAATCTGTGTGAAAACAGCTAAAAATCATTTATTTTGGACCGGAAGGAGTATTATTGACTTGAGTTAAAATAATAAGTTTTATTGAAGTAATAGTTAGTCATTAGCTGTCAGCACAAATTTTTTAGATTAAATTACTTTAAACACCCCTATAATATGACACTTGTCGATACATCCTGATTCCTCTATATTTCAAAATTAAGTGTTTAAACCCTTGATTTAATATAAGTCTATTGTCCATCCTGACAACTCTTGAAGCAAAAGAGACTATACTTTCAAAATTAGACACGTAATATATATAAATAACTAGTATAATTTTTAAAATATTGTTAAATCTATAAGATATCTTTTTATAATTTTGGAATATTAAAATAAATAAATAAATAAATGGTGGATTTATTTTTATAAAAGATTGACCAAAAAGTTAGTACTTTGTACAATTCAAGTTCCCAAAAAAGTCAAATCACCATCACTTATATTTTTGTTTTAGGCAAAGAATTAAAAATAAGAAGTACCCACAGTGGCACCACAACAAAAAGACTAAATAAGCATCTGTAAAAGAAATTCACTCTCGCGATATATTTTTCTCACACTTCTTCAAACCGGTTCTTAAAAGTTTAGTCAAGCAACCTTATACTTCAGCCTGCAGTGTTGTGTGGCTTATCGAGTAAGCGACTTTAAGTAACATTAATTTCTTGTCCACATAAATAAAAATTTTATTTATTGTCTAATGGAAGGAAATTCATGAGTTATTATTGACGTATAAATAAAAAATTTGGGAGAGCTAATTTTTCACATACATATTAATTGAAAAAGGAAGCAGAAATAATGCAAACAAATTTGGCTGAGAAATAATGCAAACAAAAATCATGCATTCTGTATACAAAAATAAAATTAACACCCATATCAGAATCCGTAAAAAAAGATAACAAAAATTTAAAAGAAAACACCAAAATAAATAAACTCACATTCATTTTTATCTCTCTCAAACATAGAAACGTTTCTTCAGTCTTCACTGGTGTCCGCGTCGTACATTAGCCGTGGACATATCTTGAATGCACACATCGATCTCTATAGACTTCTGCAGTTCTCCTTATGATGAATCAGAATAGTCTCTTAAACTCTTCAAAGTGAAAAGATTATTATATTTGACTATCATATTGCATAGTAGCATGATAGTCTTCCTTCAGTGCCCTCACTCATCCTTTACTTTTTTCTTAATAATCAAAAGTCAAATTCTTTTTGTGCGTGGTGAAGGAGATACTGGAACTCAGGTCTGGTCAATATGAAGATGAGAACCAAATTTCAATGAAGGTATTACACGGAGACGAAAAGAGGAACCAATGATTGTTCAAAGGGAAAAAGCACAGTTGCTTTAGCAAGAATTAGAAGAAATTAGAACTCACACATTAGTACTCATAACTGTTATATTAATTCAATGAAGGAAGAAGAAAACAGAAGCAATACCAGGAAAATAGAGAGATTTCAGGAAAGTAATGGAGTAATAAATAAAATTAATAGGAATTTTTACATTCCTATCCCATTTATGAAACCTTTTTACCCTACATGTTTAAGGTTTCACTTAATTACATTTAGCATACCAAATTACCATTTATATACCATATCTAATTAAGGTTATAATTAATGTGATATTTTATACTCCTTAATTTAAGCCCTTCCGTTATCTGACAGTACTAATCCTCACTTTCTCTCTCCTAACCCCTCATCCCCATACCCCCCACGTTCTTTTTACCCTCCCACGCTTATTCCTCCATTTTCCTTCTTCTGAAACCACCATCTTTACCTCTAAATTCAAACAAAATTCAGTAAACCCTATAAACAAATTCCTATCCTCATTTTTATTTACTTAAAGTTCATCAATGAAGATCAAGCAAGGTTCGAAAACGAGTCCAAAAAAACCAGCAGTAGGTGAATTACCGTCCTTTGATTTGGGTGTTTTATCCCCCAAATCACCCAAAAACCTAGGTAAATCTACACATGCAATTACAGATATTAGTCACACTTCATCTCCCCGACAAATAAGAGCTGAATGAGAAAAAAAAAAAACTTGATGTAGATGTTGGAGAATGTTCTACAACAGTCAAACAAGTCAAAATAAAAGGGAAGACATTGCTGAGGATGATGACTTTGTAGAGGAGTTCCCTACTCATAAAATTTTAAATGGCAGATTTGCAGATGTATATAAAAATATGAATACACAACAACTACAATTTACCTTCAAATATAGATAAGTTATCTACATTTTATTTGTACTGCCTACAAAATAACTACAAACTGTCTACAATGTATCCACATTTTATAAACTGCCTACAAAATAATTACTAAAATTTTACACTTTTTACCTGCTGCATTCATGGTGCTTGCAGTCAGCATAATCCCCCTGTAGGCTGACTTTAAGAATGTCCCATCAACAACTACTGCTGGCCTACAATGTTGCCAACCACTTATTGATGTAGAAAGAGCAACAAATGCGCACAAGAAGCATTCATCTGCTGTCTTCTTCAATTTAACATGAGAACCAGGATAAGTCTCCTCAAGAATATAAAAATATTTGGATAATTTGCTGTAGGAGTCAGCCGGATTCCCTCTCAAAAATTGTAAAGCCTTTTCCTTTGTTCTCCATGCTTGCATGTAGCTTAGGTTCACTCCGTGTTCTGCTAACATGCCAGTCTGTATGTCCTTTGGTGTGTACACAGTTTTTGGATCACAATACTTTGGAATGACCATGCTACCAACTACAGCTGCAGTACGTTTGCGCTGTATGAATGTTTCCTCCATTAAGGAGCATGTGTGTTGTCGGTTGAAACTCCTTATCTTGAACATTGCGGAATCATTAATTGATGTTGCCTTGAAGTGCCATTTACAGTTTTCACCAACGCATACAAGCCAGTAGCTGCAAAAAAAAAACAAATTATAATTGTAGGTGCAACAGAAGGATTGTTTTAAGGGAAAATAACATAAACTACAATTTAACTACATTCTAACTACAATTTATCTACAATATTAAAAAACCCATTTTCTGAACAATGCACTGCTTAGAATCAGATTTTCTCTATACCTTCTATGACTAGATCTTTTAACTTTGAACTGGAACTTGTGCACCACAGAAAAGTGCTTCATTGCAGCAGCTACAGTTTGCTTGTCCTGATACACTTGTCCTTCTTCAATATCGGTTTGCGTATATTCTTTTATTATTTCACTTTGATATTCCTCTATATCTGGAGAGGATGGCATATCAAGTAACTTTAGCGATCCAGATGAACCTGCATCAAAATAGAGATAAACAGTGTCATTATAAATTTGTAGAATCTTTGTAGATAATTTGTAGATATCTACAAAAATTTGTAGTCATCTATTTTAAGATGTCAGACATTGTAGTTACACTGTAGTTAAGTTGTTGCACTTTGTAGATTGCTCTGAAAACAATACTGCTTGCCTCTTTCTTTATGAGAAATTGTAGTCAAATTGTAGATATATGTAGTAAATTTGTAGATAATATCATAAAACTAAAATTCTAAGCATTTTTCGAACTACACAAACCTGCACTTGTGTTATCATTGGTGATTGCCAATTCCATATTGAAATCTCGTACACTTATACATAGGGGATATGAACCTAAGTTTTTATTCTCCTTTTTGGTCTCCATATACACACGAACCCCCATATCATTCCTAATCTCCATTGGGGGACAATTGTCGTTCACGATGTATTTGATTTCTACAATTTTTTCAGTAGTATCAATTGATAGTTGTTCTGCAATTGTAGAGATCAGAGTACTGCAGCTTGCATTCTCATCTACCACAATGGCATCCACTTCAAAATCTCTAAATCTGCCATAGTTATCCCAATTGCCATTAAATTGTAGCATAATTGCGATTTTGGACATGATTTGTTGTTGATGTTGATGCTTTTTTTGATTTCTAGATTGAAAGAAGAAAAGATGAAGAAGAGATAGATCTGATCAACAATTTGATAGAAGCAACGACGAAGAACAGATTTTTTCAACTTTGAGTTGTTGAAACTCGAAAATTTTGAACTCTACAATTTGAATTCAAATCTTAGAAGCAACAAGTAGTTGAATATCTTCATAGTTTTTGTAGCTTTTAGTAGTTGATTATCTGTTCGTTCTTTTTTTTTTTTCAAAATTTGAATTGTAGTTCTGGAGAAAAAAATACAGATGTGAAATCTCCTTTCCCTTTTTAAAAATTGAATTTAATGTAGAATCAATTATCACCAAGAATCTCTCCTTAATTTTAGCGCGCTTTTTAGGGAATATTCTGACCCTTTAATGCCTAATAGTCGAATGGTACAAATTTTGTAGGTAAAATATGGACTGGGCGGGTAATATACAAAATATGCACATTTTTGGTAATAAACTTTCATATATGGTATAGGAAGGAAAAAATCCCAAATTAATAACCGAAGTAAATAAATCTGGTAAGATGGAAAATAAGAATAAAATAGCAAAATACTGTTGAGATAGGCTGAATTAGTATGGGCCAGACCCAATTCTTATTTATATGTTGTATGATAGATTAGGCCCAATTAGTTAGTTAGTCAAATTTTATTTTCCTATTGGGTCATGTATATATAGATAGTGGACCCGGTTTGTAAAGAACGGATTTAACATTTTTCATTTGGTTATTCAGTCAATAAGAAAGGTTCTCGAATCTTCTCTCCATTTTCTCTCTAACCTTAGTTTCTTCTTCATCATTGAATCTGAGAGGATAATGGATATTAACAAGGTATCAAAGCTTAGATCCGTGTTCGTCTAGTGTCATGCTTCCGATCGATTCTACCCTCGCCGATTTTCGTTGAGTTTTTCGAAGTCTAACAGTGTTCGTCGATTCTGCGATATTTTTCGGTTAATTCTTCGGCATCCGATGGATTTTCATCACGAGATGGCATTTTTGGTGTTGAATCTGAAGATTTGGTCGGCATTCCTCAGGTTTTGACCGCTTGTTCGAGCTAGGGTTTTCTCCCTCGATTTTCCTTTTTTCTGAAGGTCGTTCTCTTTCCGGTTGCTAAAGAGGCTGGTATATCTACTCTATTCTCTACTATTCCGATGATATAGTTGTTGGTGTTCTCATTATTTTAGCTGTTTTCTCTCTTATGTTGCCAATATGACAAATGGTAATTCTGATCCCACTCAAACCACTGCATTTCCTTCTGGTTCACGCACTGTGTTTCATGAAGACGATTATACTCATCCCTGTCACCCCTTATATGTTCACCCTTCTGATGTGCTCGGAAATTCTCTCGTCTCCACTCCTTTTGATGGTACATGCTATGGTAGCTGGAGACGTACTGTGTTAGTTGCCTTGTCTATTAGAAATAAAACTGATTTTATAACTGGTGCTACTGGGAGACCTCCTGATGGGTCACCCTTAGCTAGACAATGGCAAAGGTGCAATGATCTTGTAATATCCTGGCTGGTAAACTTGTTGTCTAAAGACATTGCTAGGAGTGTAGAATATTCTGAATTTGCTAAAGATATATGGAATGAACTAGAAGAAAGATATGGTAAAGCTGATGGGGCCAGAGTCTTTGAATTAAAGAAGGAACTGGCCCATATCTCTCTAGGATCTCTTGATATAGCCTCCTACTTCAATAAGATAAAACAGTTGTGGGATGAAATTGCCTCTATCTCAGCTGGTAGGGCAAGAGTTTGTACTTGTGGGGCCAAATCAGCTGAGGATGAGGAACAAAGAGCTTATCAATTCCTCATGGTTCTAAATAAAACTTATGTTCAAACCAGGAGTAATATCTTAATAATGAAGCCTCTTCCCTCTATTGGGACAATATACAGTATTCTTTTATCTGATGAAAAGCAGAGGCAGGTATCTGCTGGGACTCAGTTTCCCTCTAATTCTGCTTCCTTCACTGCTGGTGTGCTGAATCCTACACCAAATCATAATGTTGGTATGTCAAAGCCTAATTTCCCTTCCAAGGTTTCCTTTGAGTCCACTGGGTCTTCTGGGGTGTGCAAATATTGCAAAAAACCTGGTCACAACATTGACAGGTGCTATAAATTGCACGGATTTCCACCCAATTTCAGACCTATAAAGAATTTAGGGACCAAAAGATCAGCTACTCATGTTGAACCAGACTCCAACACAATGTCTGGTATTCATACTATGGAGTGTGGTGCTGATATGTCTCAGTTTCAGAGTTAGTCTTCTTCTGCAGTACCTGGCCTTACCAAGGACCAATATTCCCAACTGATGATGTTACTTCAGTAGCAGGCCCAAATCACTGCTTCCCCTCCTGATTCCAACATCATAGGGTCTGCCAACTTTGCTGGTATGTTGCCCACCCAAAAGGGAGTGTCTTATGGAGCTTGTATGATGAGTTGAGTAGATGGAATAGTTTGGATAATAGATTCAGGAGCATATGATCATATGACTTCCAATAAAAGTTTGCTTTTCAATATACAAACCTTACCTGTTCCTTACCTAGTTTCTCTTCCCAATGGCTATAAAGTCAAAGTTACTAATATTGGTTCTGTAGTCTTATTTCCTGATCTGACTCTTCACAATGTTCTTTATATTCCTAGTTTCCAATATAATCTCAGTAGTGTTCATAAGCTGTTATGTCATGATGCTGATATTGTACAGTTTACCAAGGCTGCTTGCACTTTACGGGACCCTTCATTGAAGAAGCCAGTGGTGCTTGGTAGGCTGGACAATGGGCTTTGCAAACTCTTTCAACAAGCCATTTCTGTTGGGCAACAGTGTTCTACTTCACTTTCTCCTTCTCTTAATACTTTTAGTTCTGTCTCTTGTTCTTCATCTGCAACTAGTAATACATCCTTTGTAAATGCCATTGATGTACCTAATAAAGTCAACAATGCTGATGTTGCTTGGCACTATAGACTTGGACATGTTCCTTTCTCTAAGATGAAGCATATGAATAATATTGGTTGTATTTTTTCTTCTAAGCAGTCTTTTACTTGTCCTATATGTCCTTTAGCAAGACAAACAAGATTGCCCTTCCATGATAGTTCTATACAAACTACCAAACCATTCCAGTTGATTCACATAGATACCTGGGGTCCATATTCTACATCTACTTATACTGGTTCTAGGTATTTTCTAACCATTGTTGATGACTATACTAGAGCTACTTGGACACATTTGATGGGTGCCAAGAGCAACGCTTTTGATCTTCTCAAAGCTTTTATTGCAATGGTTGAAACTCGATTTAAATCTGTAATCCAAACAGTTAGAAGTGATAATGCCCTTGAATTGGGTTCCAGTATTGCAGGTTCTGCATATTTCTCCAGTAAGGGTATTATTCACCAAACTTCCTGTCCACACACTCCACAGCAAAATGGAGTGGTGGAGAGAAAGCATAGACATTTACTTGAGACAGCTAGAGCCTTCTCTTTCAATCTTATCTCCATATTCATTTCTGGGAAGATTGTATTCTTACTGCCACATACTTAGTTAATAGGTTGCCTTCCACTTTACTCCTTGGGAAAATACCTTATGAAATGTTATTTGGGTCTGTACCTGCATATTCTCATCTCAGAGCTTTTGGATGCCTCTGTTACTCTACTGATACCAAACCCCACAAAAATAAGTTTCATCCTAGATCCATTCCATGTGTTTTTATAGGATATCCCTTTGCCAAGAAAGGATACAAATTATATAATCTCTCTACTAAACACAATCTTCATCACAAGGGATGTTGTTTTTAAGGAGCATATTTTTCCTTTCCTTGGCTCATCTGTTGGTTTGCCTGGTCTTCATTCTCCTTTATCTCCAGACACCTTTAATTCTTTCACTGTCTCATCTCCTTCTTCCTCTCCATCTCCTTCCAATTCTTCTCTTTCTTCTCCTGATTCTTCCTCCTCTATTCTCTCTCCTCCTTCTTATTCTGACCCCCCTCCATCCTCCTTCAATTCTCCCATTCTCCCTCTCCTGCTTCTGATCTTCCTTTGAGAAGATCTTCCAGACCTCATAACCCTCCTACTTACCTTAAAGACTTTGTTTGCCATTCCTCTTCTCTCATTCTTCCACCCAGTCATGATGCTCCTTCTATTACTCAGCTTCATATTCATGAACCTCACTCCTATTCCCAGGCTACAACTGTCCTTGAGTGGCAGGATGCTATGAGGAAGGAATTTGAGGCTTTGGAAGCTAACAAAACTTGGGATACTCAGGTTAGAGGGTGTTGATTTCCATGAAACATTCTCTCCTGTTGTCAAAATGTCTACAGTCAAAACCCTCATTGTTGTGGCTGTCAAACAGGGTTGGCCTATGTTTCAACTTGATGTCAACAATGCATTTTTGCATGGTGATCTTGATGAGGAAGTTTTTATGAAACTCCCTCCTGGTCTATCTGTTGGGACTTCTTCTTCTTCTGTTCCTTTAGTCTGCAGGCTTAGAAAATCTCTATATGGGCTTAGACAGGCTTCCAGGCAGTGTTATGCCAAGCTATCTCAAGCTTTGCATTCTAGGGGATATACCCATTCTCTCAATGATTACTCTTTATTCACTAGGGGTTCTGGGAAGTCCATGGTAATTTTGGTTATCTATGTGGATGATATTATATTAACTGGCACTGATGAGTTTGAAATTGCTTCTCTTAAGGAGTTCTTGAATCTTCAGTTTAAAATCAAAGACCTTGGACCTCTTAATTATTTTCTTGGGATTGAAATACTTCACACACCTTCTGGGGTTCTTTTGCATCAGAAGAAATTTGTCCATGATCTTTTAGCTGATTTTAACTCTTCTGATTGCTCTCTTGCCACTTGTCCCCTTGAGTTAAATGTGAAGTTAAAGGCTAGAGAAGGGGATCCTCTCCCCAATCCTGAGACTTATAGAAGCCTCATTGGTAAGCTCAATTTTCTCACTCACACCAAACCTGACTTAAGCTTTGCTGTGCAACATCTAAGTCAGTTCATGCAGCAGCCCTGTTTTCCTCACATGAAGGCAGCCTTGCACCTATTGAGGTATCTCAAAGGGACTTCTGATTTTGGGCTATTCTTCTCTAACTCTCCTGATCTTTCTTTGGAAGCTTATTGTGATAGTGATTGGGGATCTTACCCTGATAGCAGAAGATCTATTTCTGGCTTTTGTATTTTTCTTGGTGGTAGTCTCATTGGATGGAAATCTAAGAAACAAGCAGTGGTCTCCCTCTCTTCAGCTGAGGCTGAGTATCGATCTATGAGCAAAGCTGTGGTTGACATTACTTGGGTTTGTAGGCTTTTGTCTGATTTTGGGATGTCTTCTGCTTCTCCTGTTCCTCTATATTGTGACAGCATGTCTGCCATTCATATTGCTCGTAATCCTGTTTTTCATGAGCGGACCAAACACATTGAGTTGGATTGCCACTTTGTTCGTTCCAAGCTCACTGAAGGTCTCATTAGTTTGTCTCACACTTCAAGTGTTTCTCAGCTCGCAGATGTCTTCACCAAACCTTTGTGTGGGCCTTCTCATCATCTACACATTCGCAAGTTGGGAGTTCTATCGCCCTCCAACTTGAGGGGGCTGTAGAGATAGGCTGAATTAGTATGGGCTAGGCCCAATTCTTATTTATATGTTGTATGATAGATTAGACCCAATTAGTTAGTTAATCAAATTTTATTTTCCTATTGGGTCATGTATATATAGATAGTGAACCCGGTTTGTAAAGAACGGATTTAACATTTTTCATTTGGTTATTCAGTCAATAAGAAAGGTTCTCGAATCTTCTCTCCATTTTCTCTCCAACCTTAGCTTCTTCTTCATCATTGAATCTAAGAGGATAATGGATATTAACAAAAACTGAGAAAGAAGATAAATAGGTTTCCTTACATATAAGAGGTGCCACATCACTTTTCTAATTTCCAGCTTTATATATTTATATAAATTCCTCACGAGTAGTGTAAAAGAATCAATGAAATTCCACATTAAACTCATTGACCCCATCATTGATCAACTCAACCGAATCGTCCCTGTTATCCTGAATAAACATAAGAAAGATCTCGTAAAAAAAAAACTTTGATCTTAAGTCTTAAAAATATACCAGCCCATGTGAAGCTGTGTAGCCAAATCATATGATAGAGATTTCTCCAAACAAGAAGAATATAAATACAGAAATTTTTTGTATCCAGGCCTTTCGGTTGGAGCATGTGTCTGCATATAAATTAGACCTCACTGCTGAATATGGACATGGATTTCTCTTCATCTTCCTTAATAGAATTGATGATTAAAGCAACTTCCTTCATGTTTAGCGTTGCATCTGTTGATGGATTTATGCATTTGAGAGCTACTTGCAACAGATTGATCATTCTTTCTTCATTTGCACCATCTCTAATAAGGGACATGTCGAAAACTTCACCAGTCCATTCCTCTCTAACCACTGAATTTACCCACCTAGCCAAATCATATCCACTAGCCTGAATAGGCTTACCTGTGAGCAATTCAAGAAGAATCACTCCAAAACTATAAACATCCATCTTGAAAGCGTTACGTGCACTAATTGCAACCGAATCACCTTCTCTGATGCTGTTATCACTTTGAGCAACAAATGACTGGTCTTGATTGTTGACCATTAGACCATACTCGCTGATACAGGCTTCCATGTCTTCGTTCAGCAAAATATTGGTGGATTTCAAGTTTCCATGAGGAATATCATCATTCTGAAGGCCTTCATGCATGAAAGCTAAAGCCTCTGCTACAGTGGCTGCAATGCCTAGTCTGCTTGCCCAGTCGAAAGTTTGGCTGCCCTGAGATGCTGAAATGAACCGTTATGCAGTAATATACAAACTCAGTACCTGATTATTTTTCTAGATTAAGTTATACTCATATACTCAAGGATAGTTTAAAAAATATTTACATAATTAGGTCACCTAAAAGGTACATTAGTAAAGAGTTTAAGTTCTATGTACTGACGATGTTAAAGATAGGAAACTAACCTACGATTACCTGATACTAATAACGTATATAACTTATAATTTTATTTTTAATTTTATCTTTTGCATGTGCCTTTTCTTCATATGTGGCAAGGGGTCTGTAGAAAGTTAATGACATGGCAGAATGAGATCGAATGGGCAGCAACAGATGCCAGAGTAGGGATGCAAGAGCTGAACTATACAGAATGGCGCTGACTGGGTATGTCTTTGCTCTCTCTGGAAAGAGAGGAATTGTGGTGTCGAAGGAATAGGCACATTTAGAGCTGTGGGAGACTTGAAGGAGAGCTGAGAGTCTAGTTTTTGTATAGGGGAGTTAACTGCTGATATAGTTAGTTGAGATGCTACTGAAAATGGAGCTTATGTCCAAGCTTCAGATTTCTTTTCTTTCTTTGAGCTGTACAGTTTTGATTTGGTAAATAAAATTCTATTATTACCAAAAAACAATTATTTTTAATAGAAGAAAAATTCTGATATGCTGACATTATTTCGTGAACTAGGTTCAGGAAGTTAAATTCCAATGAAAACATGACCATATGCTAGCCAAACAAATAATTTGTTCTATCCTACTTCATCAACCAAAGAGCACCTGAGATTTTGACTTGGATGGACCCTGAATCTGGAAAGTGGCCTATAGTTCTTTTATCTATTCCTTTAGTGTAATCAATTCTTCATAGGTCTTGGCGTAACTGGTAAGTTACTGCCATGTGACCATGAGGTCACGGGTTCAAGCCGTGGAAACAGCCACTTACAGAAATACATGGTAAGGCTGCGTACAATAGACCTTTGTGGTCCGGCCCTTCCCCGACCCCGCGCATAGCTGGAGCTTAGTGCACCGGGCTTCCCTTAATTCTTCGTAGGTCTTGTAGGGCGGCCTATTACTCTTCTAGGGCCTGGACTCCAAGCGAAAATTGATTTACTAGAAGGGAGAATAATTATGTTTACAAATGATAAACTTACAATGGAGATGCTTGAAGAGATTGCCATTATGTTGGTACTTGTAAACTATTAGCTTCTCTTGCTTTGAACTGTAGAAAGCAATAAGGGGCAACACACGAGGATGCTTCATTCTATGTATTCTATGCATCCTCTTCTTAAAATCATCTTTCGAAATATTCCATCCCCTTATCCTCTTTACTACCAATGTTACTCCTCCATCAGCTTTTACCTTGTAAACACTTCCATGTTTTCCTTTTCCGATCAGTTCAGCAGGAGCTCGAAGCAAATCCTCGAATCCCAATTTGTTAGCCATAGGACTAGAAAGGATTTCAAAAGATGCTGAGAACATTGAGTTTTCTGGAGATGTTATTGAATATTCTGACCTGTTTCCAGGAGCCTTTGACTCACCAGAGCTAGTGTTCTTGTTCTGATCTTTTAGAGCACTCTTGCTCTTTTTCTTCCGTATGCACTTAAAAAGCTTTAATGCAAGTAGAAATATGATAATCAATCCAAGAATAGCATAGCCGAGATAGATAAGGTATGATAATTTTTTCTTCTTAGCAACTGAAGGAGGAGGTGGAGGTGGCGATGGCGGACATGTGTTTGACAATGGCACTCCACATAATCCAGGATTACCCAAAAAACTGTTGGAATCAAAATGGTCCTTGACATCAGGAACTGGACCAGTTAAATTATTGTAGGAGACATTGAATTCTACAAGATTGGAAAAATCAAATCTTGGTATTTGCCCTGTTAGCTGGTTTCTTTCGGCCAAAAAAGTTAGCAACCCTGAGATTCTTGACATATCAGGTAGCTGCCCTGAGAAGGCATTGTCTGAAACAACAAGCCTTTTCAAATTATTCAATCGCGAAAGAGAGCTTGGTAAATTGCTTGAGAATTTGTTCCTATGCAAATACAAGTGTGTGAGACGCCTGCAGTTCGATATTTCCTGGGGTAAAATTCCAATAATTTCGTTCTCATTCAAGCTTAGTACAGTAAGGGAAGTTGCCTCACAGACAGAAGCAGCATCAAGAATTCCAGTGAGATTTTTCTGATCAAGAATGATATGTTTCACATGTTGCATTCCTGAATCACAAGTTATCCCCTCCCATTTGTTTGTACAAGGATCAGATGATAAATTCCATCCAAAGTTTACATCTTTTGAGATGTTTCCAAGAGAAATCTCGTTCATGAACTTGACCAGTGCTTGCCTCACATCGAAAGTCTCTGAATTTGACAGTACTAATAACATGTGAAAGAATACGCTCAAGATTACCCATTTTGTAACTGGAATCATTTCAGGTGGAAGGGACTAAAAAAGCTGAAATCTCTTTTAGCTTCTACTTCTTCAGTATGTAATGATGAAATGATTGGTAATTGGCATTTTGCTAAAAAAGTATGAATAGGGTCTAGCTAATGCTAAACAGGCCAGTTGGCTGATTCTGCAAAGACATGGTCAATATAGTGCAGACTCGATCATAACAAAAAACAGATGACCTAATGAAAATTGGCAACAGAAGGAGAAGAAGTGTTTAAAATATTGAAGGCCGGCAAAACTATCAGAGATTTGCATGGTTCCTCCTTGTAAGTTTGCTGATGAGTAGATGCATTACTATAGAGATTAAGAATGATCCAAGTGGTCCTTTTCTTATGCATCACTCTTACCAACATTCTAAAAAGTCCAAACGCTTAGCGATAACAAAGTTATTTTCAATGACTTTTCCCACCTGCTACCCCTGTATCAAAAGAAGAATACATAGAACACTATAAGCCTACAAAAATAAGAATGTTTACTTGTTACTTTTCTGTATACATGTACACGCGTACGTGCATCCCTCAGCTAAAACGTGCAGGAAATTTTGCTCTTCTCTTCTTCCCACAATCTCATTGAACTCTAAAAGATTGCTCTTAACCTACTCTCAGGGAAAATCAGTGTAAAAGAAAATGAGAACCAAATCCATGAATCAGATATACAAATGCTAATTAAGTGTCACGACCCGGATTTCCCCATCATCAGAGTCGTGATGGCGATTACTCGTGGTAGCTAGGCAAGCCAACTTAATTACCTTTCCATCACTAGCAACTATCTTTAACAGTTTATAGCATCAATATAGAACATAAAGTCTAATAAGGACAATAGCGGAAGTCTGTCTTAAAATGATAAATTTAAACGCGGAATAGTCAAAAAAAATAACCTCTACCCAAGATTTGGTGTCACATTACTCACGAACCACTACGAATAAACTAAATACAAAGGTCTGAAAGAAATATAACAGCTGTCTGTCTCGAAACAATGAGGCAACAGTCAAAAGGAAAAAAAAACATAAAGAAGAGACGCCGGGCCTGCGGACGCCTGCAAGGCTACCTCAGTCTCGTGAATATGAATCGCCTGCTTCCGAACTACTGCTGTTGCTGTTCCTCAAAACCTGGACCTGTGCAAAAAATGCACAGAAGTGTAGCATCAGCACAACCGACCCCATGTGCTGGTAAGTGTCTAGCCTAACCCTGGTGAAGTAGTGACGAGGCTAGACTGGACACCACATAAACCTGTGCAGTTATAGATATACAGCGAAAATCGAATATAAAGCAATTACCAACATGGGAGGGGAAACATGCTATGGGGAATTACAATAATAACAATAATCCAGAGTAACAACTAAAGCAACTTAGGTTCACAGTGAACAAGGAATCAATACTCAAATGTAAACACATAGCCTCAATAATTGTTGCGGCGTGCAACCCGCTCCAAAATTACCATTGTTGCGGCGTGCAACCCGCTCCACAATATCATTGTTGCGGCGTGCAACCCGACCCATATCACTTATCATATATCATTGTTGCGGCGCGCAACCCGATCCTCATATATTATTGTTGCGGCGCGCAACCCGATCCTCAACATCATTGTTGCGGCGCGCAACCCGATCCGCAACATTATTTAACAGTCTGACTTCCCAAACAACAGTCACAATTAAGGGGCATAAAATAAGCAAATATTTGACAACCATCCCGGCAAGGGAAAGAATCCAACAAGTTCAACCAAACGTCCCGACAAGGGAATAATCAACAACGCTTTCTCTTTCTTACTTTCCTTATCTTATAATTCACTTTACTATTTTGAGCCAACGCTCCAAAGAATCAAGTCATTTCGTATACTTCCAATATTCGTATCACAATTCGAGCCAATGCTCCAGGAATCAAATGATCCTATTACCGTTCACATGTTATTCATAACATATAGAAATCCTCCAATAAACACGGAGTTCACAACCAAATCATGATAATCACATTATAAGACTCACGGTCATGCTAGACACCAATGTATAGATACTCGTCACCATGCCTATACATCGTACTCGATCACATAGCAATTAGCAACAAGACTCAACTCCTATTCCCTCAAGCTAGGGTTAAACCAAACACTTACCTCAAAGCCTTGAAATCCACTTAATCCTCAACTATCGCTTTACCTCGTGATTCCACCTCCAATACAGTGATATCTAGGCATAATTAATTCAACAATATCAATAAAGACTCAATGGCAACTTCTCATAGCCTAGATATAAATTTTCTAGCATTATTCCAAAAATACCAAAATTAGACACCGGGCCCACATGGTCCAAACTCGAGGCGACCAAAACCCGATCACCCATAACCCCACGAGTGCAAATATATAATTTGTTTTAAGATTCGACCCCAAATTGAGGTTGAATCACCCAAAATTCTCAAAACCCTAACTCTACCCAAAACCCATAATTTCTACCTTGATTTCATGTTTTTAGGACTAGGAATTCACTAATTAATGAAGGAAATTGAAGGAAACAAGTTGAACAATGCTTACCCAAGAAGTTTTGATGAAAGGGAGCTTCAATGGACGCCTAAGTGCTTGGAGAAGAAAGGGTTTCGTGTGTTTTTAAGAAAAATCCCGTGCTACTGTTCTGTTTTTTTGACTTAAAAATTAACTGGGCGGATTTGCCCTACGCGATCGCGGATACAGGGATGTGATCGCGAAGGGTTACAAAGAATAGGAAACGCGATCGCATGGGTTGTAATGCGATCGCGTAGGGGAATACTGGGGGTCCAAAACTTGGTCTATGCGATCTCAACCCTACTGGTGCGAACGCATTGAAGGAAGTGTTGAGGCAGTGCGATCGCGTGATCAAGTACGCGAACGCGAAAGAGCAAAGAGCCAAAGGAACGCGATCGCGGGCTGAAGATTGCGATCGCGTAAGAGGAAATCACTGAGCAAAAATTGCAGAAAAATCTGCTACCATTCTAAGTGCAAAAACACCCCGAACCACCTCCAATTCACTCCCGAGCCCCCGGGGCTCCTAACCAATCACACCCACTAACTCAATAACATCCTACGAACTTACTCGAGCGATCAAATTGCCAAAATAACATCAAAATCATTGAATCAAGCCTCAAACTCATCATTTCTATTTCAAACTTCATAAACTTCAAACTTTAGATATTAGGTCCGAAACACGTCAAACGACGTCCGATTTCGGCCAAACTTTACAGAAAGCGCTTAACACATATTTAAGACTTGTACCGGGCGTCGGAACCAAAATACGAGCCCGATACCACAGTCTTTTAATAAATTTTCATTTCCATTTTCCTTAATAACTTCAGAAAAACAATTTCACAGAAAAATTCATTTCTCGGGCTCTAGACCTCGGAATTCGACTCCGGGCACATGCCCGAGTCCCATATTTTTCTACGGACCTTCCGGGA